CTGCGCGAGCGGGGAAACGCCGTCGTCGTCGTCGTCGTCGTCGTCGTCGTCGTCGTCGTCGTCGTCGCGGTCGTGGTCGAAGTCGTCGTCGTCGTCGTCGTCGCCGTCGTCGTCGTCGTCGTCGTCGTCGTCGTCGTCGTCATCGTCGTGGTCGTGGTTGTGGTCGCGGTCGCGGTCGTGGTCGTGGTCGTGGTCGCGGTTATCGTCGTCGTCGTCGTCGTGCGAGCTGTGCGGGACCGTCTGCGCGAGGCCTCGCAGCAGCCCCCCCCCCGCGATCTCTGCCCCGTTCCGCACCTGTTCCCGCATGAGCCCCACATCTTCGGTCAAGACAGGAGGGTTGAAAAAGCTCGGAACCATCCTTGTCACAACGAATGTTGAAGCATCTTGCGTGTGAGGAGGTGCTGGAACCCACACGAATTATGCCATGCGTAGTGAATCCGCCAGACCCTTTCATCCGAGGCCTCGCACTGGGCTCGCAGTGGTGCTCTCTGCTTCTGACCAGCAGCTCGTGACGCGTGCGACGCAGTCCCCAACCGGGCGCCCCCCAGGTGCCCCGGCCGTCTGCGAAAACCACCCCTGGGTCCAAGTCCAGCGCTGCTCGTGCCCAGCGGCAGGTGCGGCGCCGGGCTGCGGCGGAGGCGCGGCCTGAAACATGTCATTCCTTGCTTGGGGACTTAGGGAGCAGTCTCGCGGGCCTCAGCAGGTCTCGGTCGGGCCAGGGGTAGAGCCAGGCGAGGGTGCTCGCAATGAAGCAGTAGCTAGCGAATTCGACCCGGTGGGCTTTCCCGAGGAGGAAGAGGACCCCTGGGCTCCACCGAAAAACAACTGCCAACTCCGACGACCCCAACGAATTTTTTTGGGGTCGGCGGCAGAGGTGGCAGTCTTTAGATCCGGCCGCTCCCGCTTGCGGTGGCGCCGTACTGAGACGCATATGTCAATTTGGTCACTTTGGGACAAAAAAAAGAAGCTCCTATGGGCCTAAATCTGTCGCCGACCTTTTTGATCACGCCGTTACCACAAGGAAGAACTGCATATCAGAAAAACATCGGCGGCGAGACAAATATACGGAATCACTCACTGACATGAGCGGAAAAACGGCGGCGGGGCGATCCAATCCGAACATATCAGTCGGGACTCCCATGAAAAAACTCGCGGCGGGAAAATTCTAAATCAATGAAAATTAAAAATGGTGGGCAGCATATTTCAAAATCAGTATATAAAACCTCAATGATATATAATCACTGCTGGCACTCTTTCCTGGAACCTATAATCAAAAAGCAAATCTCACTTGGTGGTTGGGTCCGATGCTGCGGTCGCCCGGAAAAAAATGGGCCGTGTTGGAGACGGAGCCGCGGGCGGCGGGCGGCGTCGGCGGGCGGCGGGCGGCGTCGTCGGCGGGCTGGATCGTCTTTCATTATAAAAACCACAGCGAGGGACAGCGGGCAAACTGGCGGCGGGCCCGCTGCCCAGAATCAGTTCAAAATGGCGGCGGCGGGGGGGCGCGACATCCATCCAGTACTGCAGTGAGCACCGAAGAAACCGGAGTGATCCTTTTTGGCCCCAGCCCTCCGGGGCCCTTCCGGAGAGCTCCAGATAGTCCAAGATGGCCTCCAAGACGATCCAAGACAGGCACAAGACGACCCAAGATGGCCCGCAAAGCGGTCCAAGACGGCCCAAGAGAGCTCCAGGACGGCTCAAGATGGCTCCAAGATGCTCCATGACAGCCAAGATGGCTTCAAGATGGTTCCAAGATGGCCTCAGATGGCCCGAAACGCCTCCCAAATGGCCCAACAGAAGCCCAAGAAGGTGAGCTAAGAAACAAAAAACCATCGTTTTTCCTGAGGTTTTTTCAACGTTGTCGGCTCTCCTGCCTTTTCGCTCCACGACGGCCTGGCGACGGCCCAAGAGCGCCCCAAGACGGCCCCCAGAGGGCTCATGATGGCTCCAAGACGCCTCCAAGAGCGCCAAGACAGGTCCAAGACGGCGCAAGACGCCCACAAGACGGCCCAAGATGGCCCCAAGACGGCCCAAAAGCGCCCCAAGACCCTCCAAAACTGGTCCTACACACCCGAAGAGGAGTCACGGAGGTGTCGGATATCCCCGGGAGAGCACAAGATGGCTCCGAGATTGCCCCAAGACGCTCCAACATGGGCCGAATAAGCAGAAAAAGAGCCCGAAAAGGCGCCGACAAGGCTTCCAGATGGTTCCAACAGGGGACCCCAACAAGAGCGTTGCACATGTCCAGGCATTCCGCCATTCCATCTTCGCTCGGGACCCCTCCAGGACCACCCTTGGAACCCTCCAGACGCCCACAGGGACCCCGTCAGGGACAGATTTTGGAACCGACTGGACGGTTTTTGGCCCATCTCTCTCTCTCTCTCTCTCTACATATATATATATATATGTACACATTTCTCAATCTCTCTCTCTCTCTCTCTGAGCCCAAGATGGCTCTGAGATTGCCCCAAGACGCTCCAACATGACCCGAAGAAACAGAAAAAGAGCTCCAAAAGGCGCCGACTAGGCTTCCAAATGGCTCCAACAGGACCCCAACAAGAAAGTTGCATATGTCCAGGCATTCCGCCGTTCCATCTTCGCTCGGGACCCCTCCAGGACCACCCTGGGAACCCTCCGGACGCCCACCGGGACCCCGTCAGGGACAACTTTTGGAACCGACAGGACAGTTTTTGGCCCATCTCTCTCTCTCTCTCTCTGCCTCTCTCTCTCTCTCTCTCTCTATCTCTCTCTCTCTCTCTCTCTTCCACATCGCTCACAGGTGCCCGCTACCCCTCTCCTCCTCTCAGCTGCCATGCGTGTGTCTTTGGAAAACCGCTAAGACAAGGATCAAGACAAACGCACTCATACTCATCTGCCCCCCCCTCTCTCTGGAAATTCCCAAAGGCAAGGACGAAGACCAACGCACTCCTACTAGTCTGCTCCTCCCCTGACACTGCGATCGTGAGCGGGCCCAACTCTGTCGCCGACCCCAAGCAACTTTTTGACACCGCCCCTCAGGGGCCCTCCCAGAAAGCCCCAGATGGGCCAAGATGGCCACCAAGACGACCAAGAGGGCCAAGATGGCGCATCAGGGTGCCTCACGCCCCCCACGATGCTTCCATATGGCCCACAATGGTCCCGAAGCCACTTCCAAGATACCCCAAGACGCCTCGAAAACGGTCCAAGTGATCCCCAAGACGCCTCCAGACGGGCCCCGGAAGGACAAAAGCATTGACAATCCTATGTTTTGTCATGATCTTCACATTTCTGCATTATCGCTCCACAAGAGCTCCAAAAAAGCCCTAGATGGCCCCAAGACAGCCCAAAATCGCCCTCGGAGATTCCAAGACAGCTCGTGGTCGGAGATTCCAAGACAGATTCCAAGACGGCCCAAGATGGCCCGTGGGCTGTCGAGGGCCCCACGAGTGAGTCCCAATGGTCCCAGTGAGCTCCAATGGAGGCCCCAAGAGGGCTCCAAGAGTGAACTCCGACCCATCTTGGTTCGGGGACCCCTCCAGGACCACCCTGCCACAAGATGGCCCCAAGACAAGTCCTGATGGCACCAAAATGTCTCCCCGCAGAAACTGGACATGGCCGTCGCCCCAGCATTTTTTCCGTATCGCCACGAACTGGCAAAATTTTGGGAGCGGCCGGTGACGTCGCCGCAGGCGTCCTCGATTCATAAGCGAGGATGCCTCATGCGAAACGGGCCGGACAACTCATAATTGCGAAGATGGCTCCGACGAATCGGGCCGGGCCACCTCAGAATTTGAGAATGTCTGCAAGCGTGGGCCCTCCAGGCATAATAATTCTTGCCACAGCAGGACATAACTCATCACACTTTGGGGAAGAAACAAATGCTCTTGTTGAGACGTCCAACGACTCTGGTGAGAACGTTGTTGCATTCTCGCAGAGTGCGCTACGCATGTCTAGCACAATACTCCCTGGCATCTTTGAGCCCAGAGTTGCTGGGATGTCTTAAGCAAATCGGGCCCGACCACATCGCGCGTGGCATTTCCAAGCCCAGACATGCGAAGATGTCTCATGCGAAGTGGGCTGGATCGGACCACCTCTGGCGCGGCATCTGGGAGCTCAGAGCTGCGATGATAACTCAGGCGAAACGGGCCGGACCACCTCAGAATTTTGAGAACGTCTGGACGCGAGGGTCCCTGGGGAAGACCCTCGTGTTACCACAAGAATGCCCTCCGGCACCGGCCAGGCAACCCGGGGACGGCAACAAACGATAACTCCGTATGCGTGACAAACGGTGATGGCGATGTAGAAGGCGACGATGATGATGGCGCCGTTTTGCAGTGCGCTCAAAGAGGAGACGAAGGGGTCTTCACGTTCCTATGCCACTAGAAGTGCAAGGGCTGCGACAATGGTTGCCCCAAGGCTGGGGAGACGCAGCGGGCATAAGCCTGCCAGCGGCCTCTCCCGACCCCCCCGTGCAAAAAGCGAATGGTGTTTTTCTACACACCTCCCCCCCCCCAATCTCAATGTTCAATGTTCAATTTCGCGCGATCAGCATTGAAATGGGGGACCGGGGGGCTCACCAAACACCAGTTGCTTTTTGCACGGGGTTGTAGCATTGGCCCGCCTAAGCGACACAGCAGCTGCGCTGAGGCCAGCCGCAGCAACAGCAGAAGCGTGCACCAGCGCCCCCCCACAAAAACACCATCTCCTGGGCTGGTCACATGGTTGGGCCAAGCGTAGCCCATCCCAACTGCTGGCCAGGAAGGGTCCTCTCTAATCCTTCTCCTACTCCTCCTCTCTAATTATCCTTCTCCTCCTCTTCTCCCTCCTCCTTCTCCTCCTCCTCCTCTTCCTCCTCCTCCTCTTCATCCTCCTCCTCCTCCTCCTCCTCCTCCTCCTCCTCCTCCTCCTCCTCCTCCCTCTATCCTTTTCCTCCTCAGGACTCAGGACTGCGGACGTTGATCCTTGTCAGGAGTTGCCCTCGTGCGGCCATCTCCTCCTCATCCTTTTCCCATCAGCGCAAGAGC